TGTGCACATCAGATTCCTCTCACAGACCACTGGTAACTCTAAATTGTTGTGTGAGTGAATGGTTGTGTGTCCTGTTTGTCTCTATGTGCACCTGTGATGGACTGGAAACCTGTCCAGGGTGTCCCCCTGCCTCTTGCATAGTGTTTGCTGGAATAATGGGCACCAGCAGCCCTCATGACCCCAAAATTGCAGAAGCAGATAAAAGATAATGGATGGATGGATAGACAGGTGGTTTTGCAAGAAAGTCTCTGGTTCTTAAAAGAATTTCAAGAAAGTTTTTTTTATTTTTTTATTTATTTAATGTGGCTTTTGAAATTTAAATCTGGATACTAAGTGACTTCTAGATTCCCAACTTAACTGTTGTTTTAAAGACAGACGACTGAGATCAGCAGTCATTTTGAGTTTCTCTGAATCCCCACCAGAAATATCAACCATTGTTTTGTCCTTATTTAAGTGCAGACATTTTTCTGACATCCACTTATTTGTTTGATGCCTTGCTCATTGTATTGATACAATATGTGCAATTATACATTCAGCAGATAACATAAAACACTGTATATTTCATTACAATTTAAAAAACTATATTGCAAAAAAAAATAAAAAAAAAATAATAATAATTATCCAAATATTAATATCCAAACTGAATGTGTGAAATAATAATAAATAAATAAAAACATTTAATATTGTGCATCAGTTTTGGATGTCCTTTCCATCATATGTTTCTTGGTATTCTGCTCCGGCCTAAACAAGATGATATAACATTTTGGCAGAAAGATGCAGAATAGGAGGCCATAAGAGGAGGCCAAAATAGCAAATATCTCCACAGCATCGATAAACTTTCCAGGAGAGCTGACATATGCTGGAATGAACGTAATCCAAACTGTGCAGAATATCAACATGCTAAAAGTGATGAATTTAGCTTCGTTAAAGTTATCCGGCAGCTTGCGGGCCAAAAAGGCAAAAACAAAACATAATACAGCCAGAAGTCCTATGTACCCCAACACAGCACAAAACCCAATAGTTGTCCCAAGATGACACTGTAAGATGATTATGTCCTCATGGAGTGACAAATTCATAAAAGGGAACGGTGGGCTTATTGAGAGCCAAAGTATGCAGATCAAAACTTGTACAAAAGTTAAAGCCAGGACACTGAACCTCTGCTGTGCAAGTCCAAACCATTTCATCACATTACTGCCTGGAAGTGTAGCTCTAAAGGCTATTAAAACGACTATTGTTTTACCCAGAACACAAGATATGCAGAGTACAAAGGTGATGCCGAATGCTGTGTGTCTCAGCATGCACGACCACTCAGAGGGACGACCTATGAAGGTCAAAGAACACAGGAAACACAGAGTCAAGGAGAAGAGCAGCAAGAAGCTCAGCTCAGAGTTGTTAGCACGTACTAAAGGGGTCTCTTTATAATTGTAGAAGATAAGTGTTGTGATCATGGTTAGAAAAATTCCAAGCAGAGAAAATATTGCCAACAAAATCCCCAAAATGTCATTGTATGTCAAAAACTCTATTAGTTTTGGGATGCAGGCATCTCTTTCTTTGTTGGACCAGAACTCTGGTGGACATTTCATGCATTGTGGTGACTCTGTATGATTAAACAAAACAAACAAAAAAAATCATTATTAACCACTCATAAAGTGCAAATATATGTTTAATTTTAGAACTAAATCAGTAAAGTACTTGTAATTTTTACCTGTTAAATTACTGATTTCACCAGCTGGACAGGGTATGCAATCATGGCAGCAAATAGGTTTTCCTTTCTGGAGGACCTTGTATGTTCCTGGGAGACATTTCTTGCTGCAATCTGACACAGGCACCTTATACACAACAATTGTTTTTGCATTAACACAAAAAAATAGATATATGTGGAAAAAATAAGTAAAAATGTTAATAAAATGTAAATACAATGTCAGAGAATCGTTTACTTTTGTTTTACCTCAGTCAATCCGTTACCCCAGACAACTGAGATGTTGCTCATAATGAACTGACTGTCATCTTGAAGAGAAGCATCAAAAATGCCAACCGTTTCACCTTCCATGGTTCCTCTGTTTTGCATTTGTAAATTAACAAGTTCATATCTTGCTGGTGAGTCACCATTGTCGTCAAAATAAACTCTTTCCCCATCCGAAGTGGTAAAATTTACAGAATTTAAATATTCCAATACCTAGGAGGAAAAAAGATTAGGTTTCCTGATGTGATTTTGTCACAGTAAGTGGGTCAGTTTCTCACCTCCCATGGTTGGAAGTGTTTGGGTGCATAACAGCTAGCATTGGAGAATGGCCTAGCATCATCACATTTAAACAAACTGTTGAGAGCATGAGCCACTGCATACACTGACTTGTAGACATTTTTTGCAAATCTGAACTCAGTCATATCGGTGAACTGTAAGGAAACAGTTTGCAAGCTCTCAAAGCCACTGCACGGCTTCTTTTGTGGGTTCACAGTTTTGTTCAGTGAGCAGTCGAATACGGCTTCCCAGAAATCTCTGACAAACTGACTGTCAGGGAACTGTGAAGGGTGGATCTGCTTTAGATACTCCTCCAGCCCAGGGATTGTTGCTTTAGTTACAGTAAAGCCAAGTGAGCCCAGCAAGATGGTGTATCCTATGCTGTCTGTCAGCGAGGGATCTGTGATCCATGCGTCACTGCCGATCCACTGCAGTCCTGTTATGTTCTCTTTGTACAACTCAGAAGCCAACAGTTTAATTTCTCTGTGAGACATGAAAGCAATGATAACTTTGGCAGTTGAATGCTTTATGGTTTGTACTATTTCCTGAAGGGCATGTGGTGGATCTGAAGATGAAAATGCTTCAGAGTACTCTACACAAACTTTATAGTCTTCTGCAGCTTGGATGAATGCTGCAATGCCATTCAGGCCATATTCATTATTCACAGCTATAGCCCCAACCCATGTCCACCCAAAATACTTCACCAGCTTTGCCAGAGCTTTGCTTTGGTAGTAATCACTGGGGATGGTTCTATAAAATGTTGGGTACTCTTTTCTGTTACTCAGACAAGCACATGTTGCAAAATGACTTATCTGCAAATATAAAGAATAAATTAAACCTCTCACTTGAAGTTAGAGAGAAATTACCATCACAGTAATTATCATTAAAGCAAAGTTTACTTATTTTAACAGAACTGTAAAATAAAAACACCAAGTTTAGCATAGTGGCTATAACTAACAAGATTTACTGACTCTAGTTCTTTAACTTACCACAGGTATTTGAAATCTTCCAACAACCTGTGCAAATGCAATGGTTGGACTGGATCCTGAATGTCCTATAATAGCTTGCACTGTATCAGATTTTGTACAGTTTTCATCACTGACTTCTGTTTTTAGTCCACTCACAAGTGCCAGTGCAGCTCTCAGTATATCCATAGTTCCACAGTTATTATAAATCTTGTAGCCAATTCTAACACCAGGCAGCATCTCTGGGTTTTTGTTGATTTCATTTATAGCAAAGATCATTGTTTGAGCAAATTGAAATTCTCTAAAATTGAAACTAGAACACAAGAAAGAAATGTCTAAAATGTAATGGTCCAAATATGAAAGCTGAAAATTCATTTAAATAAGAATAGGCATACTTGATGCATTTTCTGAGTTTTGGAATCGTCTGAAAAGTGTCAACGATAAAATCCTGATCTGTGCGAAATGAAAAAATGCCTCCAAAAAAAAGGTCACCATCCTGAGCAAGTTCAGGTGGTTGTGCTAAACCTTTCAGTCGACAAACAGAATTTCCTTTTCTCATCAGCAGAGCCGCAAGGAAAAGGCCCAACACTGACATAGCTCTCCTGTGTTAGTAAGCAGCTCGACACGTCACTGCAGAACTTTATACACATTCTGCTATGGGGAGGGGTGTTTGTCACTGTAAACCGTCGCCTCAGGCAAAGATAGTCAAACTAGATTTTTGCCATTAATATTTATTTTTCAGTTACAGTTTCAATACATTTTATAATAAATTAGAAACATAAATTTATATTTTGTTCTTGTGCATGCATTGAAACTGCCCTACATTATATAAATATATATATATTGTATATATATATATATTTTTTTGCTATACAAATAAATAAATAAAATAAATAAAACATCAGCATGTCATAAATAAAGCACAAACAGTAGTTTGAAAATGCATTTGAAAACAGATCCCAGTTGCACTCGCTGACAAAAAAAAATAAAAAATTAAAAAAAGTTAACCACCCACATGGAATGGTCTGATTCAGACGTACTTTGTTTTATGTGCAAACTAACAATGCTGACATATTTTAAACTGGAAGTAGATGGCAAATCTTGAATGGGCACTAGAGGGTATGAGTGCCAGCAAAACAGTGAGTTAAGGTCACCAGACACAAATAGTGCTGCATTATGCATTAAACAGGACTGACATAATTTAATACAAATCTGATAGAAGTTGTATAGTAGGTGAGCATGAGTCCATGTGGTTATACTTTGCTGTTACTCAGCATCTGGGGAATAGATATGCTACAATGGTCAAATATTGGAATCAATGGGAATATGAGGGCATTCACATGTGTGAATGTACCCATCACCCAAGACAGACCACATCAAGGATGGATTGACATATTGTGCACCAAGAAATACTCAAATACTGAATCACTGTTTTTTACCTTTATTTATACAGGTAGTCTCATTGAGTCACGAGGACTTATTTTTAAGAGGGACCTGTTTGTGTGCAGATGGTGGGGGTTGGGAGCCTTGCTCAGAGGTCCGAGGTGGGGCAGGTGAGTGTGGGGGGTAGGTGTGGGTGTTTCATCTTCTCCGCCCACATTTTGATGTTGCCAGTACGGGGAGTCAAGCTGGCAATCTTCCGATCATAGGCCCACCTTCTCTAACCTCTGTGCCACCACTTCAAATTGGTGCTTGTGATCATATTCATGATTTTTTTTTTCTTACTTGCTCTTGATGAAGGCAGAGGTTTTCTCTCCCTCTTCTGCCTCCCTCCTGCTTTTGCCTTTGTCCTGTGAATCTCTCAGAGCCTCTCACATCTTCTGAATTGTAAATTATTATGGATCTGGTCAGCTGGTCTCTCAACGCAATTGATATCATTTTCTCGACAAAAAGACAGTGTGAAGGAGAACCTTGATGCCCTGAAGGGACACATGCAGCTGGATATATCAAGGATTCCTGGGGTATATAGAAGATGATGTGCCGGTCAGTATTGTCCGTTGAGGACATTGAGGGCACAACAAACTGAGTCCCACAAGAGGCAAACCCAAATAGTTGACCAACCAGTTTTCTGGTGATAAGATGGTTTCTGGGGCCTGCCCTTTCCTCCGTCCTCTCCCCTTGACTCTTCTGAGGCAGCCATAGCCAAAGTGGTCCAAAACATCAAAGTTCATGTTCAATAATCCAGGTAGAAAATCCAATAAAGTTCAGCGATGTCATCTTGACAGTTTCTTTCCTGTTTCTATTTTGACGAGATGTTTCGTCCTTCATCCAAAGAACTTCATCAGTCCGAGGAGCCACAAAAAAACTGAGTCCCACATGAAGCAAAAGCACATAGTCGACCAACCAGTTTGGTAGTGATAAGATAGTTTCTGGGGTCCACCCTCTCCTCTTTAAAAAATTTTAAAAAAAAAAATGTCCAGATGGCTGACTGAACTTTGTTGTACTTTAAGAATATATATATATATTTTTTTTAGGTTTAGTTAAACATTTCACTCCAACAGTTACAAGGAAATCAAACTATGTGGCATCTTGTCATTATATCTTTTCAAAATGATTGTGGTGCCCCTTTCCCATCATATTCTTTTTTGTATTTTTGCTAGGTTTTAACAAGATTATATAACATTTTGGAATAAAAATACAAATCAGCAGTCCAAAACTCGAAGCTAGAATTGCAAAAATCTCTACAGCTACACTGAACTTTCCAGGAGAGCTGACATACGCTGGGATAAAAGTTGTCCAAACTGCACAGAATATCAGCATGCTGAAGGTGATAAATTTAGCTTCATTGAAATTATCTGGCAGCTTTCGAGCCAGAAAAGCACAAATGAAACACAACACGGCAAGAAGTCCAATGTACAAAAGGACAGACCAGAAACCTACAACTGAGCCGAGAGCACACTCCAAGATGATTTTATCTTTAAATTCTTTGAAATTCTTCATTGGAAAAGGAGGAGAAATTGTTAACCAGAGGATACATACAATACCTTGTATAAGAGTGAAAGCCAGAACACTGAGTCTCTGCTCTGTAGGCCCAAACAGTTTCATCACTTTTCTTCCTGGAAGTGTAGCTTTGAAGGCCATTAAAACCACCATTGTTTTCCCCAAAACACAGGAGATACAGAGGACGAAGGTGATGCCAAAAGCTGTGTGACGGAGCATACAGGACCACTCAGAGGGACGTCCAATGAAGGTCAGAGAGCAGAGAAAAGACAGCGTCAAGGAGAAAAGCAGCAGGAAGCTCAACTCAGAGTTATTTGCTCTGACAAGAGGAGTTTTTCTGTGTCTGAAGAAAATGACAGCGACAGCAGCAGTCAGACATGTTCCAAGTAAAGAGGCTGCGGTGATCAAGGTTCCCATAATCTCTTTATATGACAGAAACAATTCTTCCTTTTTTATGCAAGCATCTCTCTTTTCATTTGACCAGAACTCAGGAGGGCATTTCAAACAGGTGATAGAATCTGCAAAATAATAGGAAATTTATTTGTTGAGTGGATTTCTCTAACTTTTAATTTATTTAGTTGTTCTCATTTTTTGGTGATTTCCTGCTTAAACTTGTGCACATTAAATTAAGGCAACTTTGATGCTGACGTGATTAGATTAGTTTTTTTGTTTTGTTTTTGCCAATTTTTCATTTTTCATATCTGAAACTTTAACAACAATAATATTTTTTTTACAGTTGTAGCCTTCCAGCTGGAGGTCTATCGCTCTGCCGCATGTTCAGGAACATGTGACAGGTGTGTAAATACCCATCACAAGCACTGTGTGTGATCTTCTATAAATTATTTCCGTGTGTAAAATATAAGCTCAATAGTATATCTGTGTGTGGGTTGACTGTGTGGGGCAGCACGGTGGCGCAACTGGTAGAGCTGCTGCCTCTCAGCGAACAGGTCCCTGGTTCAAACCCCGGTCCAGGGGCCTTCTGGGTGGAGTTTGCATGTTCTCTCCGTGCATGCGTGGGTTTTCTCCGGGTACTCCGGTTTCCTCCCACAGACCAAAAACATGCATGTTAGGCTGATTGGTGACTCTAAATTGTCCCTAGGTGTGAGTGAGAGAGTTAATGGTTGTTTGTCTCGTTTGTCTCTATGTGGCCCTGTGATGGACTTGCAACCTGTCCAGGGTGTACCCCGCCCCTCGCACAGTGATTGCTGGACATGGGCACCAGTGACCCCCGTGACCCAAAATGGAATAAACGGGTAAAGATAATGGATGGATGGATGGATGGATGGTTGACTGTGTGTATGTGTGTGTTTGTCTCTGTGTGTGTTGTTCATTTTATGGCACAATTATGTGTCATGATTGATACTAAACCTGTAATGTTGCTAATTTCTCCCTCTGCACATATTACACAGTCGTAGCAGCAAACAGGTTTTCCTTTCTGGAGAACTTTCCGTGTTCCTGGAAGACACTTCTCACTGCAGACTGACACAGGAACCTGCATGAGCACAAGAATGATAAAACCTGAAAGACAAAATACTTGTGTTCTCTGTACAAGCTTTCATTAATATTTCTGATGCATCAATTTCATTTGACTACATGACTGTAGTATTTAGATTGCATTCTTTGAATTTCTTCATTGGAAAAGGAGAGGAAACTTTTTAGATTTTTTTTACCTGGATTATTGAGCATGCATCAGGATATTTAGATTGCTGTTTACCTGGAGTGATTTTGTTGCCCAAAGTAAAGAGTTATTATATATATTTAGTTGTTTCTCTGCAGGTAAAGATGCATCATAAAGACCGACTGTTACAAATTCTACATTGTCATTTTCTTTCAGCTGCCAGTTTATAATTTCATATTTTGCTGCAGGATCACCATATTTATTAAAGTAAACTTCATTTCCTTCTTTTGTTTTGAAGTGAATCTTCTGAATGTGCTGTAAAGTCTAGAGAGGAAACATGAAGAGAAACATAGTTAATATGCATTAGTTTTTCTTATAACTATATACTTTTCATGTTTTAAACTTTGAGGGTTGTTTTTGTTTCTCCCATATACTTATTCTAGTAGATGTTGAAATTAAACTCACTGTGATGGGATCTAGCTTCACCTTGCTGCTGCATGCTTTATTACACTTGAGGATATCATGCAGAGCATGGGCCACTGCATACACTCCTTTATAGACATTATTAAAAATGGGCATGAGGGACATGTCAGTGAAGCTGTTTTCCACTCCAGTCAGATCCTCATGTCCAGTACATTCTTTCTGAATATTTTCTGATTGTGATTGTTTGAATTTACAGCTGAATAATGCCTCCCAGAATTCTGTGAACAAGTTATTGTTTGATGAATTTAGTGGTTGTATATCCAGCATGAATTCTTTCAGACCACCAACGTGGGCTTTTGGGATAGAAAGTCCTATAGCTCCATCCATGATGTGATTTTTATCCATTGCTGCAATTTGAGAATCAAAGATCCAGCCCTCACTGCCAACCCACTGATAACCTGTCAAGTTGCTTTTGGAAAACTCTTTTAGTAAAATGACTAAATCCATGTGAGAGACAAAAGCAACAATCACCTTTGAAGTTGAAGCTTTGATAGTTTCAATTATATTTTGTATTCTGTCTGATAAATCTGTTCTAAAGAAAGAAACATAATATTCCAGACAGATGCCCAGCTGCTCTGCAGTTTCTGTAAATGTTGCCATGCCGTTGTTGCCATAATCATCGTTGGTTCTAACAGCTCCAACCCAGGTCCAACCAAAGTGTTTGACCAAATGAGCCAAAGCTCTGCTCTGATAGTAGTCACTTGGTATGGTTCTGAGAAATGAGGGGTACTTGGTTTTGTCACTGAGACAAGCACATGTAGCAAAATGGCTGATCTGATGAAATAAAATGTATTTATAATTGATATGTAATCACACATCATTTCCTATTCATTCAAAAATACATGAAAATCACTTACAAAAGGGTTACCTACCAGTGGAATATGAAACGGTCCAATGGAAGTAGCAATTGCTGTGCTGGGAGAAGAAGAGGTTTCTCCCATTATGGCCTGAACATGTGCAGGTCTTAAACATGTATTTGAAGCTGAAGCCACCATTTCATCACCATTAACCAAGGCCAAAGCAACTCTTACACTTCTGGCAATGGAACCACATGTATCATAGATTTTATAGCCCAGAGAAATTCCTGGCAGCAGGTCTGAGCTGTTATTAATCTCCTCAATTGCAAAAAGCATAGTCTGAGCAAATTGGAAGTCTCTGAAATTCAAACTTAATGCAAATAGTTTAAGTATTAGATTTGAACCATTTTATTCTTGAAATTACCACAAAAGTAACAACATGATTTAAGACACATTTCATTTTTTTTTTTATCTTCTTATGAGTATAATTTACCTGGTGCATTGTAGTTCAGTAGGTTTTTGTATGTATTTATCATGACTGTTTTTCCAGCTGCTGTGGAACGAGAAGATTCCTCCCAACATAATGTCTCCGTCCTTAACTAGTTGGGGGTCCATAGGCTCACCACTTTGTCTACAAGCCAGTTTCTCAGTGTGAAAGCAAGATCCTACAAACAACAAATAAAAAAGTGTCCATTCTTGATGTGGCCACTTCTGTGTGAATGCCATGCTGAATGAAAGAGCAGACCAGAAGCACTTACAATAGTATTTACACAATATATGTATATGTATATTAGTTTGAGATAACAAACAACCAATGAAGGTTCAACATAAAGGGAGGAGCCAGAAAAAGGAATGACCAAATGCAGGAAAAAAGTTAAAGGAAGTGGTTTCTTTCAAATTGTCATTGTCAGTGTACTTTCTTAAAATGATATTAAAACATGTTTTAACATTATTTTATAATGCATAGAAAAATATAAATCAAAACAGGTAAAAAAAAACATGATAAATGTACAATGGAGACAACAATTTACATGCTCAATGAACATCTAACACTGCACTTACAGTAAAAGCACAATTAAATGTATTGTACTTGAGTCAGTCAACTTTGGTTGTCCAAGGGGTATGACTCACATTGTTTCACATTTATTAAATATCAGTTAAACTTAATTATAGTGGCTGCATTTGGTTCAAGGTGCAAATTAACATGTGACTAGAAAACATCTTTAAGACAAGTGGTAGGCAACAATTTTAACATTTTTTTCTTTTTCCAGTCACATTTGTCACCTCATTTATCTGACATCTAGAGCTGGACATGTGATTATATTTTATGGTCACAACCAGATTATGGTTCATAGGTGCAGAAGAGCAGATGCTGTTGTGGTTTTGGGAAGGCATCGCATTATTAATAGTTACATTAATTATTGTACTTGAATATGTATGTACTTTTTGACCACTTGGAGGTTAATGACACATCAATTCTAAAATCCACATTGAAATAGTAGTTGCCCTACAAAATAAAGTTTGAATACTTCATTTAGGTTTACTATCCATCCATCCATCCATCCATCCATCCATCCATCCATCATCTCATCTTTACCCATTTCTTCCTTTTCGGGTCGCAGGGGTCTCTGGTGTCCATGTCCTGCAATCACTGTGTGAGAGGCAGGGGACACCCTGGACAGGTCTCCAGTCCATCAAAGGGCAACATAGAGACAAACAAGGCGAACAGCCATTCACTCTCTCACTCACATCTAGGGACAATTTAGAGTTACCAATCAGACTAACATGCATGTTTTTG